CAAAGAGCTGTAGTGTTTGGAGGATAGTCATCACCTGCTGTAGGAATCTGCTCATTGCTCACCAGTTGCACAGGTGAGGAAAGACTGGGAGAGACTGTCCTCTCTGCTGTTGGGCCCTGGGGGAGAGTTTGCTGAGTCTGATTATAAGACCCTTGTCCTGCTCACTGTTATGATTCATTGTGGACTAAAGATATTTTCCAGTCAAGCTGTGTAGTAAGGAAAAGGCAAATCAAAATCAATTGATGCAAACAAATCCTCTTTCCTGAGTGGCAAAATTATCAGAGGCTATTTCAGATCTGAGTCTGTCAACAAAACCATTACTTGGCTGTCTGTGCAAGTGAAATAAGCAGGGCAAGGATACCAGCTCTGTAGTTTGATCATCCATGCTGTTTAATTGCAAATCTCCCTGTCATAGTTTTGAGCTCAGTCCCAGACAATGCCTGGGTACAGCTGGGGGATAGTACATGCCAGGGACTATTCTCAGGAGACAGGCAGTGTTCTTTGTTGTGGGGAGTGAAGACAGCTTCATCCTATAACATAAGCAGTCCCAGACCACTTACCCTTAGGAAGATCGAAGAGGCATGGATGTAGCTTATATGTTGAAATGAGGTCCACAGTTCTGTCCATAGGGACTAGTGGTTATAAATCCTTTGCCCTGTGAGAATCTCCTGCTACATCTGATTAAGCACCTATTTCCCACCATACCATGCTCTCATAAAATGTCCCTAAAAAAGAAAGGGGGTAGATGGTCTTGCAGAGAACAGGCAGCTTAATTATCTAATCTGGGGAGGCAGTATCTGCTCATAGTCTAATGTTATTTTCTTATGGGCAGCGTACACATGAAAAAAATTAGTGCCACAAGTAAGAAGGGAAGGAGAGAAAGAATGGGATGGTCAGATGAAGTCTTGAAACCCCCCAGTGCCAATAATCTGGGAGCAGTCCAAACAAAGCACATGAATTTGTGAGAAACAGTGTAGTTGTTGTTGGTCTACCTGACCAGTGATTTTTTAGATTGCTGATCAGAACAAAGAAGAGCCAAGCTCTTTTCCTTATCTCTGCTCCTGAGGATGTGCTCAGCACTAGAAAAGTCTCTCCAAATATTTCGGAAGACTAGAAAACCTTGATGGATTTTGAACAATGCAAAGTGAGATGACTTCCAGATGTTGTATGGGAGGCACAACCCAAGAGCACTTTTTCCTTTCCACTCTGAGGCAGAATGAGGAAGAGAAGACTGAAAATGAGAGACTTTGGGCTCAAGCCAAATAAAAGAGATATGCTAAGAAGTTATCTTTATGAGCTCTATGCATAACACATTTACAGGTTAAATATTTTCCAGGTATGTCGTTTCCTGTTGACAAACAAACCAGAAATTCTATCTCACATCAGGATATTTCCCATGGACAATGTAAAGCTGGTGTGTGTGCGTAGCCTCTAAATCCATAAGAATTGGAAAAAAAAAAATCAACAAAATATGAATTAAAAAAAAAAGCTGAAAAAGATACATTATCTTGCTCATGTAAGGCCAGAAAAAAAAGGAAGATAAATTTAAATGGAGAAAACCCACACCCCAAGTTTGAAACACAATGCAAGTGAGAAAATAATCTGAGGAGCATGTTCTGGTTTAGCCATGAGGAAAACTGGGAAGCTGGGTACACTCTGCTCTTCCTTTATACCACACATGCAGTATTTTGAAGAGGGTGTGGGACTGTGCCCTTGGGCACTCATAGCATGTCTGTGCTTGTCACCTCAAGGACAACAGACTTTGCTCCTAAATGCAGTTATTGGGAATTCTATCACTCAGTGAAACTACATCAGCACTGAATTTGGCTTGAAGCATTATTATGTAGCCTTGAAAATGTTCTCCTCATGAGTCAGGAATGGCCTAAAATCCAGGAATTCTTGTTACAAATTAATACTGGAAACAGCATTGATGTCACTTGTACATGTGGCATGCTGGGTACCTCGAAGTGTATTTAGAGCAGGCAGTAAACAATGGCAAACAAGCGGAAGTAGAATTTTGCCTGCCTTTTTAATCTATATTTAATTTTATATTGCAATGTACGTGTATATAGCACTCTGCCAACCACAATACACTTTTATTGACCTACTTGTGTTCCTGTTTATTGCTAGTGACAGCTGTTGTCAATGACCTGGAGAAAATAAATTGGGAATAAAGCAAGAAGACACTGATTGGTCAAAAAAATAGTTATTGTTTTAAATCAAATATAAGGGATTTAGTGTCTTAGAAACTTTAGAGTCTGATTAAAATGAAAAGTCTAAAGCCGTGTTTGGATTACAGTAATTCAGAACTTCATGGATTATAAAATGAAACACTTCATAGGCATTATTTTGGACAAATGCTGCCATTAGGATTACTACATCATTTTAGACCTACTGTATCACATTTTTTCAAATCCTCTGCTGTGGTACTACATGAATTCGAAAGACACTGGCTGCCATGTTTAATTTGATCCTTCTAACGTGAGTCAAATTTGTTGACATTTAACATTTGCAGCCAGTCTAATACGCTACATTTCAGTGACTTCTCTGTATAGTAATTTCAGAATCAAGGTCTAGAATAGCTGGTATTCTGGTGGTGTTTCCTAGATACAGATTGTGGATGACTATTGTAGTACATGAAAATCTCTCTCCTCTAGTTAGCACAATAAGCATCTAACCAGTTCTGTTTTCTTAAGGGCAAATTAAGACATATTTGGTTCTGTGTTTTATCTTATTTGGCTTTTTAGATTGCTTTTTTTAATGAGCCACAAGTTGCTTGGGGACATTCTACATGAAAGGCACTATATATGAACAGTTTAATTGTATCTCTCTCTGAAAAGGTGAAATAGTTTTCTTGAAGATGCCTGCCAGAGAAATCACATGCATCACTAATGGAGAAAGCAAGTGATAAAAGACTCGTAGACAATAGAGATGGTGAAAAAAGTAGTTTTTCTATGACAGTATTCTAGGGGAAAAAACGAAACAAACCAGTCCCCATTTTTGTCAGCATCTTGAAGGAAAATCAGATGAAGATACAATAATTTTGTTGTAGCTGCTTCTGACTGTGATTTTTTTCTAATCCAAACAGATGAGCATATCCTACAATTTTTACTTTTATCAGGCACACTGATACCTTTCTGATTTGTTTGTATATGTTTAAACTGCAGAAAAATTGAACAGTTGCAAGTAAATCGCAGATGATAAAGTATTTTAAGAGATAGGAAGAGTTAGGTAGCGCTTCTAAACAGTTTCAAATTTCCTCAATGAAGATTGTTGAATACATGTACTGGAAGAGTTTAAAACATGGAGGGAAGTGGATAAGGAGGGAAAATAAGAACGAATACATGGGAGAGAGTTTTCTGAAAAAGGGGCAGAAAAATATATTTAACTTATATCTCCTTATGACTGCCATGAATACACACAGAAATTAATCTCACCAGCCTTGGTTTTTTTTTGACATACAAACCAGTGACATCCTTTTGAAGTCTATGGGAATTATTTTATACCTTATACTAGGAAACTTGGATTCTCTATATGAGAACTTGGAATTCTCTATATGAGAGGCTGCTGTCCCTCAAGTTGTCTCTGAGACCAGGTAGGTGTTGTTGTTGTTGTTATTATTATTATTGTTAAATCCCAGTGCTGGCAGAAAGCAGTTGCTGAGGAAACAAAGCTGTTATCTTGGGTTTTCCTTTGGTATGAAAGTTAGACATGTTGTGGGTGAAAGTCTGGGAGTGTGAAAGGTATGTCAAGGTCACACAGCTTATGGAGCTCCAGGCAGTCTGAAGCATGGGTTAAATGAAACCTCCTCTACACTAGGCAGAAAAAAAAATCAGTATTTTCAGGCCAGAACATTACCAGACAAAAAGAATCTAAGATTTCAAATTTCAGTTTCACCTTTATACCTCATCTAAATAATACCACATCCTAAATGACCTTGGGAAACAAACCAGCAATTTTAATTTACCAAAAAGAAGACAATTACAAGCTTGAATTATTTTCAGAGGAGGAGAGCAGGGGATGTTTGAAGGATGTAGTGGAGGTGGGCCAGATATCTCTCCTGGTCCTCATACTAGCCACTGCTGTTTCCTACTCTGCCTGCCTTTGTGCTACCTTTCTCTGAGCAGCAGTAGCAACAGCAGCAGCAGTCAAGGCTCAGGGATGCAAGGCTCCCATATGTCCTCTCTCCTTGCTCCAAATGGTGCACAAGGGTGCCCCTCTCATCCCACCCTGCTATGGTTCTGCATATATTAACAGTCTGATGTGTGCATGGTTAATGCCATAGCCTTGAAGGTACTAATAAAGCCTTAATGGCCCTGACCCACCTCATGTGGGGCCTTCCCCCCTCTGCCCATGGGCTAAAGAATTCCATTTAAGCTCAGGTCTGTGCCTTCACTCCCTGTCCAACTCATTGTAGAATGTGTATCTGTCTTCAGCCCTTTCACAGCCATGCTTGTGCCTGGCCATGGCCGCAATTGATCTGGACCCTGAGCACTGTCTTCCTGGCTAGACCTCAAATCTGCCTTGTCACTACACGTGCCTGGCAGTCACTAGGCTGTGCCTGACCCTCACAGGATCTTATCCTGACCTGACACCTCACCTGATCTTGGGTCTGCCTCATCACCATAGACTTGCCTGAGGATCTAGGTGCTTGGATGAAGCTGATTCCACTCTTCGGCCTGTCCTGCTCACCTTACTTGGGTGTTGTGGAACTGGACCTCTGGCTGGCACAGTCTCTGCCCTGCCAGCTGTGTTCTGCTCCTTGGCTCCTGGGTCCCTGCCCTTTAAGGAGCAGCCAGTCCTGACTGCTCCCTGATGATTAAAAGCTTAATTTATGATGAAAAATGAGTTTACGTAGAATGTCTCATTCATTTCTCAGAGTACAGTATTACTATAATACTCTGTACATGTCTCAGTTCCTGCTGGGCAAAATGTATTTTTTCTCTCTTTAGATGCAGAAAATGACATTGTTTTCTTTTTTTAAAGTCATCTGTACTTACATATCATCAAAGGTAAGCTTTGTCCTTCTGCAGTCCCTGGGTGTGCTGGACAGAGGTGACCAAGGCTCTGTTTGAGACTGTGGCTTATTGCAGAGAAGAGCATTTTCTGAATTGATGTGAACTGCTTTCTAGACAACAAACAGCAGAGAAGACACTGAGGAACTGGCTATTAACTTCAAAAAAATCAACTAATAAACAACAGATCATCTTTGCATTGTGTTGTAAACTGGCAGTTAGTTTTCCTATGAGTTTAGCAGGGGGTATGTACAACATCAGCCATGTCACTGATAGCCACAAATTCACAGATATTGCTGAGAGCACTTTGTAAAGGGCTTGAGTTTCAATGTGATATACAGAAGGAAAAGAGCAAAAATATTCGTAACTATCAAACACTCTGAAAACTGAAATCATTAAAGAATAACTCTGTTGTGACCATTTAGAAGATCAAGTTATACCTCCGGTCTTCAGCTTCCAAACTAGCATTGTACCATTCCCTGGGAGAGCAAGGCTCACTTGTTTGTTTCATACTGCACTGCTGATGTGTCCATTATGTATGAAATTGTAGCCCATGGTACCACTTTCTTTCTGCTTTGGATCCCTGCTCAGCTTGAAAGACCACTACCCTGTGCCCAGCAGAAGCAAATCTTCTGGTAGAGTCTCACACATTCCCACAGCTGCAGCCCTGTTTTTCACATGGCCTCATGAGCCCTTTGTCCTACTAAACGACCTGATGTGTGGGCTACTAGACACTGATACAGTTCAGACCAGAGGGGCGCAGATTGTTTTTGGTTGATAACCTCTCAGAAAACACCATGTGACAGACAGAGATGCAATAGGAAAACAGACAGAAAGGCCACTCCCTGGCTTGCGATCCCTGACAGAAGAGATCACTGGACCATCAGCTAGATGTCAGATGATGGGAAGATGGGATAAAACGAAGCTAACTTTAACATTTATAGTTCATGAGCTCTCATCTCCTATATGCTACATCCAGATCAGTTCAGCAGGTTAAAGTTTTCAGATGAATAACCAGATACATAAGGATTCTATTGCAAAGGTTGTTAAAATGTTGACCATGACCAAATGGTGCATTGCTAGGGTATGCAGAAAATCTCTGAAATGCATTTGCTAAGGGTGTGGATCATAAAGCAATCACCCTTTACTTTTGATTTCCAGCATATTTGCCTGTGAAAGAATTTAAATTCTTTTCAAGATACCCAGTGAAGACTCGTATCGTTATAATTCTGAATGGGTTATAAACGTCTAAACTTACGTTTTAGAAGTTACATGTTTAAAAACTTAAATTTAATCCATAAAAAAATATAGTATCGACTATGACATGTTAAAATGCTTTTTATCGGAATATTTTAATGTAGTTAATTTTAATCCCATTTACCAAAAGTACAGAAGATATTCTTGAAACACATATTTTATGATAACTTGCTTTTTATCAAGTCTCCAAAATTAAGACTACAATTACTACTTCCCCTTCACTTTCAAAAAATAAATATATTTAAGTACATATACTTAAAATATACTGTGGGGCCAGTTATTCCCACAGCAAAAGTGGCTGGAAGAGACCACTCCTACAACTCAGGTAGTTTGTTTTCCTAAAAGTTGCTTACGTGCTAACACTTAGGCTTTTGAAGCCTCTTATGTATCAATGAGCAAATACAATAAATAGATACAGAATAAAATGTATAAATGGTTTTTGTAGCAAGGACAGGATTGTGGGCCTTTCTAAGAAGCAGCAGACTGCCCTAATGGCTTGACTAGATGCTCCAGCAGTGGACATCAGTATGATGGTACCCAAATTGCTTCCTCTAGATATTTCACACACAGCAGAATAAATAGCCTCAAGGGAGAATATGACAATATTCTTCCCTTAATATTCTATTGGCAGTATGCCATAGGCTGGAGGGTAGGGTATGATTTTGAGAGAGAGACGTAAATTCACTCAATAGGGTATGATTTTGAGAGAGAGACGTGAATTCACTCAATCAGAAGAGCTAACAGGCTCTTCGCTCCAGAATCCTAATTACAGAAACCATACATAAATGGGGGCAGCATCCCTTTCTCTCTGTTCTCTGAAGGCAGTGGCTACCAAGCAGTGTAGTAACATCATCTTACCTGGAAAAGCTCTCTGGACACATTTAGCGTGAGCAAGACTCTGGTAAGAATCTAAACACTTGGGCTGTGATAGAGCTGAGTTGTGAGGGTGATGCTAAGCTGTTCACCAGTGTCAAGTGTAAGAAGAAGTGTCTGAGAAAGCTGGTTGTAAGATGTAGTAACTTGTTTGGTGGCACACTCATGTTTAGGAGTGGCTGAGCAGAGGCCTTATACAGTAGAGGCCTTGTGAATCACACTTTTGGACGTAGAGGGCTTGCATCATGCCCAAGCAATACTCTGGAGACCTAAAGCCATTTGTTTTGGACCATTAGATTTTACCTTTTGTTTATGTAGCCTCTGTTGTTTGCCCGCTTTACAGCCTGCCCTCTCTCTTTTCTTCCGTGCTTACTAAACTTGAAACCAGGAAAACTGAACTTATAATACAATATTCATTATTCCTTTTTTTTTTTTGCATAACATTCTGCAAAACTATCACAGACTGCAATACAAAGTGAAAAATATACAGCTAGGCTTTATATTGAGAACAACAGCATAAACTTACATTGAAGTCTTCAGGATGTGGCTGCGACTGGATTTCACTCTTATGTTTTTTGCTGGAGGAGATGGAAGGTAATAGACTGCTGCCATTAGGTCTGCTGGAGGAAGTTAAATCATCGTTGGAGTATTTGTGTTTTGATGCATCAGAGAGGGGAGAGACGGGTGACCGAAGCATTTTCTCATTTTTATTTATTGGTATTGCCAAGCTGGAAATGGAAATTACAGTAATGGAGTGTCACAAAGCTGGCTTTGAGAAAAGTAAATGTTTTATATATTACCAAAACTTTGAATTTAAAACCTCTGGCAGGATAAAGTCTATCGGTATCTGGAAACAAGCTTATAGTATTGCGACCAAGAGTTCATTTACAAATTTGTATCATGTTTCTCCTCTTTCCCTTCAAGGGGAATTGTAATTCTGGAGTTAATACAAAGTCTGTATCAGAGTACTTGGAAAAAAAACCAAACCCAGAGATAAATGGCCACTTGCTCACCATTTCTTAAGGGATAGCTGGAGATGAAGATTAGGTTCTGATGTGTAAGTTCAGGTTATGGAGTCCTATTTCACCATTACAGGTGACAATTTATAAGCCATGGCAATAAAACCACATGTGAACTAAAACAGGAGATGTGTTTAAAGATGACTGGCTTGTCTTTGTGTTCAATGTCCAGCCTTTGGTAGCACTGTTTATACTAATCTAATACAGATTTTGAAGACAAGGAAAGATAGGCTGGTAGCGCAGACGAAAAGAAACATATGCAAACAGTAGACAGTGAAATGTGAGCTGCTCTGTCTTCTAAAGTAGAAAGCTGTAACACAGTATTTTCAGCTTTCATTTATTTGGGGGAAGCTTTGGATGAGAAGTCAGAAAGACTGTAAAAATATGCCAGAAATAAACTTCAGATGCACTAATCTGAAGAAAATATTTATCTGAAAATGTTAAAGCAACACACAGAAATAAAAGTTTTTCTTTAAGGAGACAGTTTGCATGAAGACTAAACTTGTGATTAAGGTCAGCCAGACTATTTTAGCACAAACCCTTTCCTTGTCACATTCCCCTTTATTCAGCCTATTACGTTTTATGGACAATTCTCACTTCTTTATAGTTACTGTATCAGACAATATATGCTTAATAGAATCACAAAAAAAGAATATGGTACAAACTATACTTCATTTCTGCACATAATTTCAGGGAACAGAGCTAATTAAATGTGCTCTTATCATGCATTTGTCCATTTATCTGGCAAGTCTTTAAAGCTAGCTGTGAAAAAGGCTATGAATCGTAATTCAGAACCTTTCCTGTTTTCTACAGTGTAGTACCTTGAAAACATGACATGAACTGTTTGGCTTTTAATTACCAATGCTGTTTACAAAAGCAAGAATCAGGGCGTGTAAGATGGACAACTGTGCCATTCTTCTCCCCCTAAGAAAAATAAGATCTTTAGCACTATTTTGAATGTGCAGGCTGATGCTGTCATTTCTTTTCCTTTTTTCAAACAGAAACCTACACCTTGGCTAGCCATGTTTATACATCACTGTCAAAATACAGGCCTAAAGCATCCAAGAGAAGCCATAGCTCTTTGGAAGTGTACCGAGCCTCAAAAATTTAGCCCAGAGCTTGCGAGCAGTAGCTGCAATTTCTATTTGTGCTGCAGACCTACATGGCCATCAGCATATTGTGTAGGCCCACCTAAATGTATTCTGGGCAGTCAAACTGCAGCAGGACAATTATCAGAAGCCATGCAGAGCAACCTGCAGTGGGCTGTTACCTGCTTGGACTGGGCAGACAGTGGCATCCAACGTAGGTATGAGATATTTGGGGTATCTCTGCCTGACACTGTGGTCTTTACTGTCAAACAGGACCCTGCATAGTGTGCCCCTCAGCTTGTAATTCCACAAGAAAATGCCTGAGTCTGAAGGTGGTTTTGCTCCTCTCTTTGCTACCAGCCCTCGGCTGTACTGACAAAACTGTGTGTGGCTCTGCTGTAACCCAGCCAGAAAAAAAAAAAAAAAAAAAAAGGAATTCTGTTTTCAAACAAGTTCCTTGAGTGAATTTACAGGAGTCCCTCCACCAGCTATGGTGGCATAACTGGTCCTGATATCTACACCGCTGGTTTAGCTACAGCCTCAGTAGCTCATCCTCAGCTGTGGGAATATTAGCATTTGGTATCATGTCCTACAGTAGCATAAACCACAGAAACATCTTGGAAGCAGGGCAGATCAGGGAAGAATTAGGAGGCAAATACACATTTAAGACCTTCCTCTTTGTTTCTTTAATGTACAGTTGCTACCAGGAGTACTGAAAATAATGTCAAGTAAACCACAAATTATTGTCCCACTTCCAGGAAGCACAGAATTAACCCTGTGACATAGCAAGCTATAACAGCCATGGTATTCTCTGAAAATGAATGCGACGTAAAACATATGACACTGAGGTAATGGAAATGGCATGCCTGCATGCAATCACCCACAATAAAACAAACTGTTCTGTGTATTGTTTTCACTTTATGAAACATATGTGACATGTCAGGACAAAGAAATTGAATGCATATTTTTAAACAAGCACTATATATATCTTAGTGTTCTCCATGATTTCTTCCAGAATTAATGACAAGACTTGCTCAAACCCATCAGTGAGGTGTACAATAGAAAAGCCTACTACAGTAAATACAAATATTTAAGTTTAGCAGTTTCACCCCAAAAGATACCATGATACTACCAGAAAATTATTATTATTTTTTTTAATACTGATGACTAGCATGTACTAGGCAGCATGCAGCTGAACTTTGAAAAGGTGCATGTCTAAGTCTGACTGCTGGAAGCCTCCAGAGTAACACGGTACATGTATATCTGACATTGATAGGAATCTGCATGCATAAACCATGCCACCAGATGCTAAATATTCATTATTTGTTTCATGCCTTGCATTCTTTAAAAATCTCATTGTTTTTAAAGTCTGAGTTCCTTGTCCTAAAATACTTATTAATTATACTGAATAGATTACTTGTAATCTCAAAAATATTGTATCTCAAATATATTCTGGAATTGAATATTGCAATCATTGTTATGAACATTTTTCTCAATCTTCTCCATAGAGTTTATAGATAATTGTGTTTATACAGCCAAACTTTAAGTTTGAAGCTCACAATGCTGTAAGGAAAGAAAAGGCTATAGATGGTATGTGAATTGGTACCTACAACACAGTGTTTGTGAGTACATCTAGGACAGTTACACTGCTATAGCTATAATTACTCATTCAGTGAACCTCACACTTGAACTCACAACTTCTCTGTGCAACAGGACAAAATTCAAGTATATAAATGTGTCAGGAGCTGCTAACTTGTTCATTAAACCAGAAGAAATGAGAATGTAGTGGGTAATTTTTCAACATTAAATGTGATAATTAAAAAATAAATCCTATTAAAAATAACACACAGCATTAAACTGCAACTAGTTGTATGACTTAGTGGTAAATAAGAAGGAAAATGCTTACCTATTTTCGTTCATATTGCAGTGATTTGCTGTTGCGATGCTGTGGGCAGAGGCAGCTAATCGTGAAGAACTCTCTCGCTCTAAGTGAGCCTTCTTGATGTCTCTGCACTCTTCCTCATTCTCACACTGAATGAAGAGAAAAATAATAATCTTGTAGGTTTTGGATTTCCTACAGATCCAAAAGTATTTCAATAAGTCAGGGGCTGGTATATTCTGGTATATTGGTATGAGTGATGACACTTTCTTTGATCATGTAACTAACATGATTCAGAGATGATTGGTCCATGTCTTAAAAAAATCAAATCTGAAGAGGTAGTGTGTGAATAAAGGAGTAGAATACCAAACCTGAATTGTTTCCACCACTTCCCCACTTGCACCTTGGGATTCCTTATATTTCCCTCTCTGCCCATCTCCTGTACATTCTTCTCTTGCCTCAAACTTACACCTCTTTTGTCTCTGTTCCTTGGTTATCAGTGACTATGCTTATACTAGCAAATGCAACAGGTCTGCAACTGGTCTTGAGGCCAACTGACATGGCAGAGCTGGCACTCATGCATTCATCTTGCACCTCCTTTAAGAGAGGGTATGCCACATTCAGATTGCCTTTTGGGAAGGCACCTTAGCCTGGTCCTGAGCAAAGTTCTGTTACTGTCTGGAAGAACAGAAAGTAACCCAGCACAAAACCATGTTAGCAAGCATGTTAACAGTTACACAAAGCTGGTGACTGTGTGCCACTGCTTGGGACTGCATCCTGTCACTATCTGGCCTACTGGTATGAACATAGCCAATGTTTCCTGACACTATTTAATTTCATGTTATGTCCTTAAAAATTCCATCATAAGCTCCCAAAGGCTCTGCTTTCTCAAACTCCTGCAGAGTCCACATCCTGTTCCACTTCTAACACTTCCCCCATTTGCAGTGGTGACTGAGTTTTACTTGTGATTTGTTGATTCTGCTGCATGTACTGCATTGCTGCATGGCAACAACATTTTTCGTGTTATCCACTGCCACTGTGGCTGTGCTATGGGATTAACATTGTGGCTTACACTCCACAGGAGTGAAGATCTTTTACCTCAGAGCTTAACTATCCTCCTCTGTCTCCAATTTACCCTTCTTCTTGAGATCATGACAGAGGTGGAAATGATAAGGACCTCTTTTTAATTTTGCAGCTATACCTGATAATCTGTTCTTACTAGTCTTATTCATGAAGTCTTTTGGAAAGAAGGATCACATAGTTGTGCATAGCAGCTGTCCCATGGAGGATCACCAGCTCGTGGTACTCCAGAAATGTTTTGTACTATATCACTTAAACCACCACCAAAAGCAGCGCTTTAAGACAGAAGAGTTAAAGTTAATATGTGCCACAGGTAGTCAGATTAAGCATTTCTAGAGTGACTGCTTTTATTTTGCTCTTCTATTGTGTCCTCCCATGTCCTTCTGGGTGTCCAGCCTGGCACTATCACACTGGCATCTCTTATGGCCTAAACCAGAAATATTTTGCTTTTGCCACTCCTTCTTGACCTGTTTCCCATCATTTTGTACTGTGCAATTACTTCCATGCTACTTCTGAAAGAAAAGGCAAACACATCTCAAAGCTTATCAGAGCTCTCTGTTATGGCTCTACAGGTGGCCAGAACAGGGTTGCCACTTTTCAGATACTAAAAAAAGAACTCAAAAGTGAGAAAAAAAAGATAAAAAAAAGCCTCTTTTAAATAACCTGTCCTAAAAAGTATACAGATCAATTTGCACATGTATGGTAGCTCAGAGGGTGACAGTAAAAACTGCCCAGAAATTGGGCAGCTGGTGATTCCAGTTGAGGGACTTTTGCAGTCAGATCAGTACAAACGGACATGAAAGTCTCCTCAGTGGACAGCTTGGCCATGGGGTGGAAGGGGCTTTTCACCACTCCTAATACCCAGTTTTGGAGAGAAGCCTCAGGAGAGAAAACTACACTAGTAAAGATGCAGTGCAACCATTAAAGTGTGGAAAGCCATATGCCAACAGCAAACACCATCTCCAAGGGGCTCTGATACCTCGTGGCCAGGAGTTTTATCACCTCCTGGGATGGCATCTCCAGAGCAGCTTGGCCAGTTCCTATGCAGTGAGAGGGGACAAATCCCAGCTCTGAACTGCCAGCCTGGAGACAACACCACCATTGAGCACTGGATGTGGGCACAGACAATGCTTGCCTCTGATATGCCGGAGGCTCCCCCACCCACCCCTATCGGTCCCCTTGAAGCTCACCTTGCGTTTCCTTCTAGATTTCGGTAAACCCTTCTCTGCGGGGGGGTCAGCACTACTACCCTGCGGGAGGCTGGCCGCCTGGTTTGCTCCAGCGCTCATGGCCAGTGGCTCTTCAGGCAAACGCTCTGGAATCCTGGACAAAAGAGCCAAGTCAATGTTGACCCACAGTGACTTTACCTCATCACTGTCTTTCAGAGGAGACAGGAGCTCATTCCTACCGAAAGGAACCAGGGTGTAAAACTGGTCCTCCAGCTCCTTTGCTATTTCACTACTAGTCCTGGCATTAATGGAGCCAAAGGCACTGCAGCCACCATGGGGTTTGCTGGCGGCGCTGGTCCCCGCGTCCTTGGTGCGCGGCTCGGACCCGGCTGCCACGGGCACCTTGGGCAGCGGGCGCTCCTCCCGCTCCGACTCGGAGCCCGAGTCAGAGGAGGATGATGAGGATGAAGACTCGGTCTCGATGAACTCCTTGGACTTGGGCGCCGTTTTGCTTGGCCCCCGCGCCCGGCGCTTCTCGCTGGTTGCAGCCGGGCGGGGCTCCCGGCGGTGCCCCGCTCTGCAGCCACTGTTGTTGGTGCTGCTGGTGCCAGGCCGGGCCCTCGGTGCCTCGCCAGCAGTGCTCTCCACAAAGCTGTGGCTCCCGGGGGGCTCCTCCGCGCTGGGGCAGTGGGGGCCGTCGCCGGCAGAGGTCCTCTCGGCCCGCCGCGGTGCCTTCTTCCCCGCCGCCCGCCTTGCAGGCCCACCGTCGGCCGCAGGGGGTGACTTTTGCCGGCTGCCCTTGCTGCCCGGTGCTTTGTTGGCGGTCCTGGGCCGCGGTCCGTCCCCGGTGGTGGTGGCGGCGGTGGTGGTGGTGGCACGGACCTCCCCGCTGCGGTGCTCGGCTGGGCCGGTGGCTGGGGTCTTCTCGCTTTCCTGCTGCTCTGCCTTCACACGATTGTAGTAAGGATGGGCCTCCAGCGCTGGGCCGTCATGGTGGGTCAGGATGGGTGCTTTGTGTGGGGTGACTTTATTCAGCCACTTGTCCAGCTGCCACTTGTTGGATGAGGGTGGCTCGGGCTGAAAGGGAAACAGATGGCAATGAGCTCAGTGCTGAGACCCTGCTGCCCTCGTCCCGGGGCTCCCTCAGGGACACCAAAACACTGGGTCTCCTCTGATCAAAGAGTCATCCCCAAGACACAGCAACCCCCAGGCACGGGCCCTGGAGTGGGACACGTGGGGCATGCCGTGCAAGAAGGAGTATTTTTGGTTTCAGAATGAGGTTGGGAAGGAGGACAGCTTCTGTGATTCATCATTTCTAAGGATGATTCATGCAGTGCTACTGGCATCAGCTTTGCTGGGAAATGCTCCCAAGTTTCCAAATAGAAGAAGATGTAATGGCAAAAGGAAGGGAGGAAAACAAGGCAGGGGTACAGCTAATGCTAAGGGAGGATAGCTAGTAGGACAGCTACAGATATGTATTTTGTGTCCTGGGCCATAGCAATAAATAAATGAAGTACTTAAAAAGCACACAAAAAGGCATGTAGTGGGGATTTGAAGGGCTAACCAGATGATTCATGTCATCTGGCTGGTATTGATGTTATAATCTTGTGAGATCCCACAAACATTTGTTGTGTGGTGGTACTGTCAAGTACTCATTTTGTGAGTACTGTGCGGCTGCTGGCTTTTCTCTGTTCCTGTCACAACACGATGAAGTTATAAGAGAGCATCTAAAACATAATGGTGTTTGGACAGCGAATAAGTGGGATAATCATCATTTCAAAGGTAACCACAGCTCAGACAATGTTATTTCAGAACAACGTGCAAGTGTTTTCTAGTGCTTCTTGCAATCAGTAATTTGAATGTAATAAAATGAATGTGAAAGGCAAATAAACCCAAAAGAAACAAATGATGAAGTAGATGGCCAGCCATAACCTAGCCTCACAGAAGCCAATGTGAAAAGTCTCCTAATTTCCTTACCTGGAACCAAAATCTGATCCACTAGGTTACTGCATATGAATAATCAAAAAGTGTGTCATGAGTCTAACATGGAAACCATCAATACTTGGGAAGAAAGTTTGCTCAAGAGAGAATATCCGCAGACTAACTTGAAAGAGTCTTTTACATCCTATTTAAAGTAGGTGCCTGGGGGCAACACAGGTTTCCTGAACAGCCAAGGGTGTCTCCAGAATCACCCACTGAGGGTTGTATTCACTTTACATGGAGCAAAGGCTCCTAAAATAAGCAAAACAGTTAGACATTGGAATTCACATGATACAAATATTTCTTCTTGCAAAAGCGTCTAATTCACTTATTACTGAGCAAGCCAATACCTATGGGAAGTTTGCTGGATTGCCTTATATTTGTTTTTTCTTCAGCATACTCCCTAATATCTTACATGAGGAATTTCTTCCCTGAGCTGTAAATCATGAAAATGGATGGGTAGTATTTCTTTTGGATGAAGATATATTTTTACAACTCTTAACTCTATCTAAAATAAACAGCATTTTTTTGATTGCTGCTGAAAATACAGATAGATTTGTTTGGTGCCATTCATTGTACACATACTGAATTTAATAGATATATAGTTAAAAGTTCACTATACATGGAAGTCTTTCCACTGTTCAGGTGTATTTAATGAAAGTTCATACATCAGAAGCATGTGGGGAAAAATATACCACTGTCCATAAGTATAGGTCAAAGTGAATATAGTTAAAAAAACTTCCAGCTTTCCTGTTAAATCCCATTCTGTCTCTCGATGTACCTTGTAATTCTGGAAAACAGTAGTTCACAGAATATGGATTTCAAGGGATTACAGTAAACCAGCAGAAACAGTGATTAAGTGCTACAGTGTCATAACTTGGCAATGTGGTACTTTCCTAGAATGATATGTCTGCTATTTAGGCAGAGTAACTACAGTCTCACCAACCTATAAGCCAGCTGTGAAGTCTAATAAAAAAGATCAACAATGTTGCCAGATTTACTAATTTTGTCAGGAGTTTCAGGACACTCATTATTTTTTCTTAAAGCTTTGGCTCTCAGAATCATGGGCTTAGAAGCATTTCTGGGATTTATTTAAATAAAAAAATCAAATCCTTATGGCTTCTGAATAAAACCTTGGGACATGTGTCCTTAAAAAAAAAACAACCCTTTAAGATTCATCTGCTAAAAAGTACAAAGCCTGCAGGCCATCAGGTAAATGAAAAGAACCTAAATTTTAAAAAAATCAGATTTGAAAACATTTTTTTTTAATATTTTTGGGCCCTGGTACGGTTTTGTCAGTGAGCATGAGTGATGCCAATTCACTTTTGGAAGTAATATATGCAATTGATTGCTCTAACTGAAAAGTACTGTGCTTAGAAATCACTTAAAAAATAAGGCACCTTGAAAGAGAACAAATCAGGACAGCCAAGAATGAAGAGCAGGCCTGGTAAAAAAAGGGTTTGGGAAAATTCACTTGAAAGTTTTCACCAGTCCACTTTACATGACTAACTGCAATTATCTGTGGGAGAAAAAGAAAACCCCTAATTCTGCTGTCCACATCACCCCCCCCACCACCACCAGCATGTCACATACCATTTTATGGAAGACAAGTTAGTTTGCTCAGTGGGAAGTTTTCAGCTGCATGTAAGGATGGAAATACATATAAATATATATATAAAGAATGGTCAGATAACAGAATGGTCTCTGTTGCTTGGTTTTTGTGTCATGGAAATATGCTGCCCTCAAGGCCTTGTAGAGAACCAGGCAGTTTTGAATTGAGGTAAAGCTGGTGGTGCCCAGATGGGCAGCAGTAGTAGGAATAACAGTCTGTGATAAAGCTGACTTGCAATGAAATGTGGATTTGGCATGAAAACCCAAATCAAGAAACTTTACAAGACAAAGATAGTTTCAGGGACCAATGCACCACAGACGTACACATGTGCCAGGCTTCATCGAGAAACAGAAGGATGTGATACACTTCCTTAAAAATTGTGGGTGGATTCATCTGTACAACATAGACACCTATATCTCAGCTAGTCAACGAGTTCCTTCTCCAGTCAGTGGACTAGTCTTCTAGGGTGTGAAAAAATCCTTCTTGAAATAGACATCTGAAATAGGCCAGATGAGCTGGGCCCTAAAAAAGTCTATTCCTCTCCACCAAGTGTAAAGGGGAGGCTGAAGTGATAAGCAGATGTAGGTATCTACACTGAAAGTGTCAAAATTTAGGTGGGATGACTCCCACACAGTACATCTATATATCTAAGATATCTTCAAGGCTACAAGTGCAACCAGAAGCATGAGTGGCATGCATCCAAAAGAAACCTTTGTCAAAATATTATCCAGAAACACTTTCTGGGATAAAGGGCTGTTAAGCAATGTAAGAGTTAATGGTCTGGGATAAAGGGCTGTTAAGCAATGTAAGAGTTAATGGGGTTGCTTGCTATTACAAAGAGGGACCTAAGGTAGCAAATACCACTGCAAACTTAAAGCATGACACCACTTTCATTGGCAAATTAGGCAGCCTGTAGTATGTGCATGTATTTAGCCTGCTGTGGGGTGGGACTGAGCTATCTACTGTCCCTGCAGTATACTCCGCCTATTGTAAATCCACATACTAATTCACCCTTACGATAACTTGCTTGTGCTGCCCTGATAGCAAAGATTTCCTTTACGGCAATCCCCATACAAATGTGGTACCTTTTCATTGTATTTAAGGCATAGATTATAATGAAGAAGATAATGATGATGATTATTATTACTACTACTACTTTATTGCTACTATTAGCACTGTTGCTAGTGCTTTATCAAATTAGAACTGGGGATTCCTGTGTGCTAAGCACAGCACATATATATTGTAAGAGGTGATCCCTGCCACAGAGAGTTTTCTGGAGGGAAGGGAGAGTTTAGTGTGTAGTCATTGTCAAAAGTAGTCCACAGGACAGCTAAAGACCATGAATCCTATTTGCAAAGGTAAAGATAGTATCCACACTTGGTCTAGTGGTAAAATCCTCTTTTCTTCTGAGGGTACCGGTCAAGAAATTTGTCGTGGTTTAAACCCAGATGGTAACTCAGAACCATGCAGCCACTCACTCACTTCCCCCTTCTTCCCTCCCTCCCATTGCTCCCAAAGGGGTGGGAAAGAGAATTGAAAGAATGTAACTCCCACGGGTTGAGATAAGAACAGTCCAGTAACTAAGGTATAACACAAACCACTGATGCTGCCACCAATAATAATAATGATATGGGGAATAACAAGGGGAGAATATATAAAATTGAAAGGGGAAAAGAAAAAAGAAAACAATAAACACAAGTGATGCACAATACAACCGCTCAGCACCTGCCAACCGATACCCAGCCTGACCTGAGCAGCGATCTAGCCCTTCCAGGTAACTGCCCCCAGTTTATATACTGGTCATGATGTGCTGTGGTATGGAATACCCCTTTGGCTAGTTTGGGTCAGGTGTCCTCTCTCTCCTTCCTCCCAGTTTCTTGTGCCCCTCCTCACTGGCAGAGCATGAGACTGAAAAGTCCTTGACGGGGGCAAGCAGTACTTAGCAACAACTAAAAACATCAGGTGTGTTATCAGCACTGTTCTCAGACTAAAGGCAAAAACACAGCACTGCACCAGCCACTAAGAAGGAAAAAAATGACTGTTACAGCTGAACACAGGACAAAATTGAATCATAGCTATACTTAAGATGGGAAGCAAAAACTTTTTGGAAAACAAGACAAATAGATATAGAAAACATACCTCTCCTACCGTTCAGCTGTAAAATACAACTCTTCTTTCCCTACTGAAACCTATCAGAGAGGAACAGCCAGTGAGGTGGCAGAAGCATGCTCAACAGTTAGCTAGTCTGCTATACACATTCTTTCTATTTTCCAAGCTAAGGAGAAGTGATCCAATGCCACAGAGCACCTGAGAAAATGGCAGGAACTCACATGAAATGGCTCCTTAGCCATTGGTACTGATGTCCAGGCACTTGAAGAACTTGATGCACAGTGGTCAGGAGGTGGCTCTCTGCTAATGGCAGAGGAGGATGGGGAAGAACATAACCATACAAAACACTTCAACTTAGACCTGGTCAGTCACAACATAGAATCACAGAATCATAGAATGGTTAGAGCTGGAAAGGACCTTTAGATCATCTAGTTCCAACCCCCCTGCCATGGGCAGGGACACCTCACACTAAACCATATTACCCAAGGCTCCATCCAACCTGGTCTTGAGCACTGCCAGGGACAGAGCATTCACAACCTCCCCGGGCAACCTATTCCAGTGCCTCACCACCCTTACAGGAAAGAATTTCCTCCTTATATCCAATCTAAACTTTCCCTGTTTAAGTTTTAACGCGTTACCCCTTGTCCTGTCACTACAGTCCCTAATGAAGAGTCCCTCCCCAGCATCCCTATAGGCCCCCTTCAGATACTGGAAGGCTGCTATGAGGTCTCCACGCAGCCTTCTCTTCTCCAGGCTCAACAGCCCCAACTTCCTCAGCCTGTCTTCATACGGGAGGTGCTCCAGTCCCCTGATCATCCTCGTGGCCCTTCTCTGGACTTGTTCCAACAGTTCCATGTCCTTTTTATGCTGAGGACACCAGAACTGCACACAGGTGAGGTCTCAGGAGAGCAGAGTAGAGGGGCAGGATCACCTCCTTTGACCTGCTGGTCACGCTCCTTTTGATGCAGCCCAGGATACGGTTGGCTTTCTGGGCTGCGAGCACACACTGCCGGCTCATGTTCATTTTCTCATCGACCAACACCCCCAAGTCCTTCTCCGCAGGGCTGCTCTGAATCTTTTCTCTGCCCAACCTGTAGCTGTGCCTGGGATTGCTTCGACCCAGGTGTAGGACCTTGCACTTGGCATGGTTAAACTTATCCTGTGATGATGGAATAAGCATGGACAAAAAGCATATGTGAATTCCGAAGCTATAGAAGACATTGCATCTGATGTGTGGGGCTGGTGGGGCCCAAGACAGGACACCTCTCTCTTCTAACCTTGTTACTGTTGACTAGCCACTGATGCTTTGTCCCATGCGATGGAATCTCTGCTTTCTTCCTGCCCATTCTCCCCTCTAGTCCACCCTGCATAGTGGGAATTCCAAGTAACCTAACCAGATTCCACCTTACAAAAGGTCTGATGGATAATTCAATGGAACAAAGAACAAACAAACCAAACTCTTATCTTTTGAAATGTAGCCCCTTCTATGGACTTGACACCTAAGGTTTTTTTCTACCATCCAAAATAATCGCAAGGACAAGTTGTCATTGTTTTCCAGAGTCTTCATTTATGATGTTAATTACGACCATGCAAAGAATTCATGACTTCAGCAAAAAAACAGGAGATAGAAACTCAGTCCCTTGTTCATAATTTCAGGCTTGGCAGTCCACAAACCTGTAACTACTCACATTAATGTCTCAGGCACCTTAATTTGTCCACATCACTGAAACCAGTCTGAATGTTGTCTCCTGCTCTAGCTCTGCCATTATTCTTAGTTTACTGCAGACATAAAGTGTAGACAGCTGAGCTAGACACCACAGGCTCTAAATAGTCAATGGAAAGAAACAGACACTTTTAGGGTGCAATTCATCTAATCTGTTTTATATGTATGCTTTACAATGAGCTGCTTTTACACTCTAGGCAAGTGCATTTAGACACCTGATAACAACTCCAAGATCTCAAAATGAGATGAAGAAAAAATTAGAGAAGAAATGAAACAGAAGAAATTGAATTTCTATATATCCTGAAATGCAGAAGACACAGTGTCCTAGAAATAAAAACCTTTGAAGATATGCATATGATATTTCAGATTATGGAAAAAAAGTAATAAGAATCAGGTCCTCATAATGGTCTGCAGATTTCCAGATTAAGTTTCTCCCTACCTGGAAATATGGATTTCCTGCCTGCCACTGTACTGGAGTACTGAAGTTCTTCGTACCCGAATTCATTGGTTTATGCTAAAGCAAAAGCAAAGATGTGTTTGCTTTTTCTGTCGTATCCAATAAATGAATTTAATTTTAAAACTAGGACTGAAATTGACTCCCCTACTTAAAGTTAGGTGGAGAGAGCCTTCCTTTAAAGAGCTTCCAAGGACCTGTTTCTGTCCATTTACTGGGTAAGAACATGGCATGTACTTTAGAAAGACGACTTTACTGGGTGCATAGATGCAAGTTAAAGCATTAATGCAAAGCAGACAGGACTTCCATCACATCAGCACATTTTGAACTGGTGCCATCAGTCATATGATGGACCTGGGAAAGCACTGGCCGTTGGGGAAAGCACAGGTATCCTACTTTCCTGCAACACCCTGACCCTACCCACATATGGCCTCTTCCGTATCCCATCAAGGCATGACCTATGAAAACCACTGCAGCCATCACATTTTTTTAGCCATTTACATTTTTGTATAAGCGAGTTTCATGCAGCATATCCTAGAAGGCAAACCACACAAACATAATGCAAAGAGACAAGCAGTCTTTTGGAGCAGCGCAGCTGTTTTGTGACAATGATCACTGATAATTCAGGCTATGTACAAAAGTAGTTCCACAGATCTCGAGAGGATATGTATAAAATGATGAAGAGGAGGCACTTTATCCACATTTCCATGACTCTCAGTCCCCTGCTTGACTTTATGAAATGCACGAGCTGCCTCAGTTAATTAACTTCCTGCATTCCCTGAGGAATGACTGCTCTCAGGTCTAAGCAGCACAGGTATCTGCCTAGATTGTAAACACTCCTCCTTTCCTGGGTACTATGCTTCTCCTCTTTTTATCTCATATTTCCTTCTCCCCACAATGGTTCCTTCTCTTTCTTCTCTTTGTCCCTTTTCTTCCACCTTCTGAGATCCCGCAGGGAGAAGAGAAACTGCGCTTAAGATCTCTGTGCTAATTCCAGCGGGGAACTAGGCAGAAAGAGAACAAGGTCTTAACAGGTCGGATGAGAGAGCTCATAATGGGGTAGCACAGTGAGGGCAACAAGGAAAAGGCACTGGAAGGAAAAGAATAGAGACAAAAGGAAAGAGAACCAGAGAGAGAGATTTAGGAAAGAGACAAAGTGAGAGGAAAATTAACTGGAAATGGATCTGAAAGTACTGTGAAGGAAAGGCAGAAAGGAAGATATGTGTTAAATAAGGAACAAAAGTGACAGAACCTGAGAAAAATATACTAAGGATGTTTCTGCGAGCGCTGCATTTTGCCTGATAGGAAACATGGGCTCCCCAAAAATGAGAAAAGATGAGGAAAGGCTTGCTGGTTATTCAGTATAATTTTTCAGGGTGAGAGAATAAGCAAGGCATAGTTTTGAGGGGAGGAGTCTGGTGATTGGATGCTTTATATGGAACAGGAAAATACACTGACTGCGTTTCATATGTATTTACAATCTTGCTGCTAGATTTCTGAATATTTTTACATACATTAATGTGTGTGATGTGGCTGTGGAGCTCATGGTTTTATACTAAATTTGTGTATTGACCGAAGCATGTAAAAATATCATTCCTGGTAGAAAAGAGGAGCAGAGAAAGCAGCTTTGTTGTGTCTGTTGAGCCCTGTGCCGAGGTAAAAGCAGAAGGCGGCATAGCACTGCCAGCTTAATTGTAATTTGGCTAGGGCTTGTCTACATGTGGAAATTTTCAGTGCTGGCTTTCCAGATGAAAAGTTTGACCTTAATGTTTTGCACAATGAGGAATTCAGTTTAGTCCATTTTGGAGGTGGATTAAAATAAATCGCACAAAGGCAGCAGTAACAGAGAATAATTCACTTAGAAAGTGAGGTGAGGGAAGTGTGTGAGCGAAAAACAACTGTTTTGCTTTAAAAATCCACCCTCAAACTGATTTTATAATAGCTTCCCTGTGCAGAGGAGCCTTTAGTTCCCTTGCAGTGCTGGGAGTCCACACCAGGACTTCCTCACTAAGCAAGCCATTGCTATTGAGCCAGAGTTGCATAAAACTCAAGCAAGCTGTGAGCCTTGCAAGGTTCTCCACTCATCTCCAGTTTGAGGAGAATATCACAGGGTTATTTCTCGCTTCATCTTTGTTTCAAACACCTTAATCTGCCCCAGGATTCCCTGCCACTTGCATTTCACAGCACGTTAGGAGGAGGATCCCTGAGCTTTTTTCTGCCATTTTTTTTTGTGTTACTCCCCACAGCCTCCTTGTGTTGGCTTGGCTGGAAAAAGGTCTGAGTGGGTGTAATAAGGGGTTGCTGCCCTAAATGATAAAGAGCAGAAGCCCTTACCTCTGGACTGGAGTAATGGGAGGGCTTGCTGCCGTCACTCTCACTGGAGCTGCTTTCGCTCTCTGAGTCAGACTCTGAGCTGGTCTCGGATTCACTGGAGCTGCTGCTGCTTGACCCCTTGCTGGAGAGTCCCGAGGCTCGGGCGTTGGACTGCGGCACCACCAGGCTGCCAGCCCCCCACACAGCCCATTGTGGAGGGGGGAGGGAAGAGAAGAAAACAAGAACATAAAAAACCCACATGTAAAACCATCGTGTTTTAGGGAGCATACTTATCTGAATGCTTGTGTGTTTGTCTCTGATGCTAATGAAGGGTGAAATGAGCTCACCACTACATTATTAGAACTGGGGGGGAAATATGGGGTTACCCTCCTATCCATTTAATCCATAACCTTTGCCATTTCTTCTTCATTTGAGGGAGGGTCAAGTTTTCACTTCAGCTTGTCTCTTTTCTCATACAACAGACATTTTAGGACATATTAAAAATACCAAAAGTTAAAATCCAGTATAGAAAGCAGTCTTACACTGTCTAAGGAACACTCTGCAAAGAGGTAAAAGCAGGAGATGGAAAAGGTGAACAGTTAAGAAACAGAGTTGAACTCCACAATACCAGTCATTTATAAGTAATAATAGCAATAATGATAATACATCCTCACTGGAGTTTCCAACCCTCATCTTTTTTTTCTGCACACTTTTCACCTACCCGTAAATGACATGGTTACCTGTATATACCATCTTGATATTGGCAACTGCAAGATCTAAGGCTCTGATCCTAAGAAAACCCGAAGAGCTGTCTTGTGCTTCTGCATGTCAGTAGTGCAGTGCTGTCAGCAGAGCTACTTGCCTTCTTAAAAGTTATGTTTGCATGCAAGTGTTTGTATTACCAGGCCTGACAGCAGAAGAAATGTATACTTTCCTGAAATAGTTGACCATGCATATTGAAAATATAACAGTCATAAAGACTTGGGTGTGAAATGTCCTATTAAGTCATCTGGCTTATTCCCCAGGCCATGGAAGATTGTTCCCTATAGCAGGGTGCACTTTCTAGAGAGTTGTCCAATTTGATTTTAAGTAACTTGAATGCAGCTTTTACTTTTACCCCTGGGAAACTTTCCTGTAAACTAACCCAAATTCCACCGTCAGAAATTTCTCCCTACATTCAACCTGAAGTTGCCCTTTTTAAATTTATTGTTACTTATTATTTCATCCTATTACTAATAGTTACTATGATAAATTGTCCTCCTTCCTTTTTGCTTTCACATATTTGCAGATTGTTTTTCTGCGCTACTTCAGTCATATTTCAGACAAGGCCTTACACATTTACTTCTTCTGATCTTTCTTCATAAGTCATTATCTCCAGGGATATGGGATCATTTTTATGGCTGTTTTCTGAACTCATTCCAATTTGTCTATATCTCTGTGATAACAGGATGCCCAAAACAGAGTGCAGCATTATAGATGGGTTCTCACTAGAGCCCTACAATGAAGGGCTGTTACCTTCCTGATCCTTGATGCGTTGCTTCTGTAAACATATACCCAGGCTGTGATGGAATATATAGTCCATTAACACTCCTACCTCTCTTTCAACACTCTTTTCTCCAGAATTCTTCCACCAATAGCTACTTTTTAGATTAATTGCTTCCAGAGAGATTTAGCTTGCTTTTTTTCTTCATACCAGATCTCATTTTCTTCTTTATTGCACATGCTTCCAGCTCTTTTGATTTATTTCTTTGCCCTCGGAGGTGTCTGAAGCAACTTCTAATTTAGTATCAAATGCAGACTTAATTAAATGGTTATTCACTTCCTTTTCCAGATCATTAATGAGACTGTTAAATAAGCCCCACATGAAACACACCAGTACCCTAATAACCATCTCTTCCCAACTCCCATTCATTGGTGTTTATCATTACCCTTGTTTATGCTCCATCAGTCCAATATTGTGGTTAATGCAATGTGATCTTGGAGATGCATTTTGTGAGAAATAATAACTAATAATTAATTACAGTTCTGCTATGTTGCACCTAATGAATTGTATTTACCTGCTAATGGTGCATTTCATTCTGGAAAACTCGTACCTGACACCTGGCACAAGTCACATATAACAAGCAATTTCTGGGGCTTTAAAAAGAGGCTGGGCTATCAGAGATGCAGTTTCAATGCCATGATTCCCCATGGCCACACACTTACTGGCCCTATCCCTGCCTCCCCTAACATATGCCAACCTTTCCCACTGGACCACCTGTCTTGCACAAGCCAGTACTCCTACCACATCATGTTTACTTAGAGTATCCCCTTTGCCTTTAGCTAGGAAGCGGCACAGCTCTCCATGGCTTTCTTGCTCCAGAAAGTTTCTGGTTGCTTGGAGAATAGTGCTGCTGTTGGAGAGCTTTTTGTACCCTTTGAGGCACAGTGAAGCCAGGCAGTGCAGAAAACTTCACCTGTGATCTCACCTTACTAATTAAAGCAGGTAAAATAAAGAGGAGAGGAGGAACTGACATCAATTTATACTTTTGACCTTTATTTCCATCCTTGTTGCCATCAGGCAGTAGAGAGAGGGGCAATAGTAAAAGCTCACGCTCTGGCAAGATGACTTGGTGCTACATGAATGTTAGCAGAAATGCCTGCCAGCTCTTGGGAGGCAGGAGGTCTGTCATCACGCGCAGGCATTAAATTTGCCAGTTATAATGAGTGCCTTTAAAAACTTGCCCTCTGCTATTTTTGTTGTTATTCATGATGTCTCTTTGTCTAGCCAGGTAGGTATGGTAAACATGAGATTTTCAGGCAGCCATTTGTATAACAACACAGAATCATAGAATAGTTACGAAGGCACAGAGATGCCTGAAACAGAAACAGCTTATAAGCTTGCAAAATTTTTCCTTCCCAGAGAAGGAAAATTGATATTTTGTGCACTGCTTTGGGACAATGCTGTTTTCCTCTTGTACAGGTTGGCCAGTAAACTCTATATATAAGTTGCTTACTTTTATTAACAGACTGCAGTCAACCCCTTGCTAATAAAATAGTGAGAGCAATATAAAGGCCATTGTGAGTGGGTTTTGATTTTTTATATTTTTATTTTTTTATGGGAGTATGAAAAGGTAACTGTCTTTTCTGACAGTGGAGCTTAGGGAATGCTTTTGACAGTGTCTGACTCTGATGGATTTCCAGTGCTTTCCACAACAGCATTGTGACTGTTGCCTGAAAAGTTCTTCAACATCACAAAACATCTGCACATTTACGTCCTGCCCTTAGTGGCTGTGGTTTTAATTTTTAAACCATTATTTTTGTTTGGCATTGTCTGAAGCATTCAGAATTGCTCTATAGGGAATGAGGAAATAAAAAAAAATCCCAACGTAATATTTCTTTCCTGTTGTGACATGAAATGTTTTTCTAGGCTGCTGAATAGAAATTACTACAGCCATAGATATAAAATACAACAGTTGGACTCTTCACAAACATCTGGAAATCTGTGTTTGCTGCTGTAATGGTAGCCAATATACTACGAAAATTTAACATTACAATATTTTCTCATTTATGCTGATACTGTTGAAATCTCCTGTCACCCTTTTACCTTTTCCATTTTTAAATAGAGTGTATTCTGATAAGGATACTCATTATATTATAGTGACCAGAGTGAAAATAGTTATATGTTTTTTCATGCATTCCTATTAGAAAATAACCATTATTTTAAATTGGTGACTTCCATTTTGGACTGTTTTTTCTAACGTACGTAAGCAAGATCATGAAGTCAAAATAAAAGACCGATTTACATTTTAATGACCGTGGCACACAACATTCATGCGTATTTTGCTACTGGCTTATGCCCCAGAGTTAATTACTACATCATAGAAATGTTAGTTTTGTTTTAAGCTATTAAACCACAATTTGGGTAAGAACCACTTTTCTTTAAAGCCCTTCATCAGAACATTCACTGTCTGACTTGAGAGAGTAAATACCGTGTTAAGTTGCCAGAAGTTCATTAATAAGATCAGCTAAAAACCAACACACTGTCTGAAGTTTCTGTTCAGATATCTCCCATCATCCTGCCTACATGGAACTTGGGCACCTGAACACCGTGCAAGCCTCCAACAATATATTTTCCTGCATTGGCTAGGGGACAAGTCACCCTTCTCTGAAAAACTGCTAGGTGCCTTGTAACCTCACTTTTTCTCAGATATGCAGATTCAGAAACACAGTAATTTGAGGAAATTTATATGGCTAATTTGTGATCCAAATCGAGAGGCGGAGCCATCTCAACCCCTGGAGAAGCCTGAAAGGTTAGTTGTGGTGAGACCAGTTATTAGCATCATCAGACTGCATGGCCACAGCAGCTTTGAACAAGACCAAGGTGGTTTAAACACTTGTGCAGGAAAGTGCAGGTGTTTGCTGTTCAGTTGGTGGAGATAGATTCCCAAATCAGGCTGCTTCAGTGGCCCTCAGGAGATCTCCTGAGGTTAATCACCTGGACCTGGGTCCTGCTCTGTGCTTTATATTAAGCTGTTGCTTACAGCTGCACTACTTTCTATGCTAATAAATCATGGCATTCTTGGCCACAGGAAGTTCCCAGGCAGCTAAGCATATGCTGAATTGCAGGAATTCAGTCTCAGAGTTTCAGAGATGGTCAGCATGGATGCCTGATTAAGGTACAAGTAAAACAGATGCAGCTCTTTACCAGACTGCTAGTATTTGGTAACAATGTTAAATGGATTCAGAAGAGAAAAATCCCTGTTATGCTGAAAAATTTGGCCAGTATCATTTGCATAGTTGTGATCATCTATACTATTTTTCTTCTAAATTTTACCTTACGGCACTGTATGCCAAGCAGTGTGCAACTATTGAGTGGCCATGACTCCCCAAAGGCTCCCTTTCCCATAGGAAAGAGGAATGCAACAATTAGTGCTAAGAGTTCACTTGAATAAACAAATCACATTGTCAGCATTGAGAGGTAAGCATGGAGAAAGTGATCAGGATTAATATAAAATGTCACAAACTTTGGAGAAAAAAACAAGAAAGGCTGTATGAATGCTCGCAGTATTTGAAATATCTGAAAAATCTATCACTGTCTGGAAGATCAAGGCCAATTGTGGGAAAACAATACTCTGAAACAGACACCAGTCCCTTGGCTGGTATAAACTGTCATAGCTCCATTGACTTCAATTAGGCTACAGTGAT